ACAAATATCTTGATGTTGGAAACTTAGCCAACTGTATGATTTGTACCATTATGTCAACAATAATTCAATCTATTGTCTACCCACAAAAGAATAATTTATTCTTTGTAATTTATAACCACAATGTCACTGTTATATTGTCATTTTCCTCAATAGTAAATATATAAAGTATAAAGGTCTTGGACCCCAACAAGATCAATAATGGACATTTCAAAGATGGCGCGGCAACGCCGCGCCCAGGTTTTCAAGTCTTGCATCTATACCCACCTCTACCACTATGACAATTAGAAAAACCATAAGTCTGTATCTAAATTACCCACCATATTATTATGAAAGATAATTCAAAATAATCCTCTAAATTTGCATGTAAATTAACCATCTACTATTTTCATAATAACTCTCTAATTTGTATCTAAACTACACAACCCTACCATTGCAAATGATAAATTACCCACATATGTCATTATAAATATAATGCAAAGTAAGTCCTAAGTTTGCATTCTAATTACCAATATACACCATTATGAAAGATTTTATAAAGTAACACCTTTTAACTTGTATCTAAATTATCTACCTCAACCGTTATAAAAATTTAAAAAAAACCTCTCAATTCTACATGTAAATGCTAATCTAAACTATTTTTGAAAATAATTATATATCCATAAAGTATACTATATATTTTAAAATTACATACTTCTGTGTTAAGTTAAAATTTTCATGACAACACAACAAAGACCGACAATTTTATGTAATATCAATATGATAATAAATTTTGTTGGTTGTTATCATAAATAAGTTTATACATTTTAATAGAAACATTAGGTCATATCAATAATAATAATTTAATACAAGAATTATATATTTTATAAATCAACACTACTAGACATATAATTTTTTGATACGATAAATTCAATACTTTGAGTGCCATGGTGTAAGTTGAAATGACTATTTAAGCCATTGTATGAACTAATGGGGTAGCTTTGGACACGTAATATATTCTTAATAAAATAAAAAAAATTGAATAAAAGATACATAAGCAATAGTGTTTGAACTTAACACATGGATAAATATAGATTCATAAAGATAAAGAAAGGGAAGCAACTAGAGCTTATATCCTTCAACTTAAAAGAAAGGGAAGCATATCACATTAGGGAAAAAGAAAAATCATAGAAATTCTAACTGGGTCCCAATAGAGCCTCAACCGTGAAGCCTCACAAGACATGCTATAATAAAAAAGATAAATTTAGAACTTCTTACAAAAATTAGAAACATTTAACCATCAATTCTATATATCTAATCACCATTAATAATAATAATAATAGCCATTTGATCTATGCTTAAACAATTACTCACCTCTAGATTGTGTAAAACAACATAAAGTAACCCATGAATATATGTATATATATGTGTTACTTTACATATATTTACACATTTTAACAAAAAATATTCCGCATATCTATATTGATGGTATAATCATTACTACACATAATTTCTTGACAAGAAAATTTAAATATCTTGAGAAGTGCATCCCACAGGTGGTTATATCTTCATGGACTTCAAGATTCATTTGGAGTAAACCATCATTATCAAGCTTAAATTTCAATATCTTGTTGAGGCTAGCATTGCTACCCCATCCTAGATCTCACTTCAACCTCTACCACCAATCTTACGCGACGTGATACAAATTTGGAATGACTGTTTATGCCATTGTAGTACTTAAGAGTACAGTCTATAATATCAAACTATTACTTTTAAAAAGTATAAAAAGGATAGAATAAGCATAAGAATTCAACTTAACTTAAGAGTATAGTCTATAACAATTGGTAAGATAAAATCTAAAAATCAAAATTTAGATTTACGACATCATATAAGATATGAGCTGCAACAGGAGCCATCATAGTTGAAGCTAAGGTTTCAACTAAACGCATATTGAAGATACATAGAGGTGTCATGCAAAAGAAAAGAAAACTATGGATATGGATGAAAAACATCTAGATCACCAATTGATCAGTTTCTCGCAATTGAGTATTTATTATATCCATTATGCAAGAAAATGAACAATGATAAAAACATTCAATTTAATATATTTTTTTATTAATAAGAGGTTAAACATAACTGATGCTTATGACTCCTATAAGTTTCTAGCCCATACGAGACCACAGGTTGATGAACTAGTAAATATTAAATAAACAAACTCAAAGTTCTCATGCAAATGCGACACTCAATACTAATGCAGGTCAATTTGAATATAAGCTATTGTATTTTATTTTGTTTATTACTGAAAACACGATAACACTTTTTTATAACTCATTTACATCATCATGTATCTAAATCAATGGCGTCCGCCCCCTCCACCCCCGCATTAATGGGACGAATCCTAGGCCTAGAGAGTTAAATAGTGGTTCATTTAGTCTTATTTTAATACTACACTATCTACGGACTATTAAGCCAACCTAAAAATTTTATGCTCCCATGATGGTCTGTGGATTCATATTTTATTTACTGCTAATATTTTAGCTTCCACATGATTTCATTTCGTTTTTCCCTGGAGTGTGTGGTCAAATGGCTAAAAGATAATATTCTTAAATGGACAAAATGATAAGGTCACATGTTGACATCTTTAGATTATAGTAACAAAAATGATATAAATAACCAGCTGAACCCACCGACTTCATGAACTGGAACATGGCTATTGCCCATATAATTTGCATTCTCCAGATGTCCAACCAATGCTGATGACAACAGTTCATCTGCTAACTGAATAGTATTAGGATAAAAGTAGTGTAATAAAAAAGTATTGTAAACATAAGAGTTTCATCTTAACTTGAGGATAAGAATATGTAGCAATCAACAAGACTAATATAAAAATCAAAATTTAGATTTGTAACGTCATCAAGTATGGGATGCAACATGAACCACCATAGTCTAAGCTAAGGTTTTAACAAAATGCATACTGAAGATACATAGATATGCCATACAAATAAAAAACTATGGATATGGATGAAAACATAGCAATCAATAATTTATAAGTTTATCATAGCTAGATAGAGACTATAGAGTATCTATTATGCCTATTACAAAAATGAACAAAGAAAAACATATAATTTAATATAAGTAATTCTTATTAGTCAGAGGTATTATAAAACTAATGCTTATGTCTCTAAGATACTAGACTGTGTGAGAGCATAGGTTGAGGGACTAGTGTATCGAAACCAGATATTGGTTTTGTATAGTTCATTTACGTTTCTGAACTGAAGCCATATGGGTCATTTATATGATTCTATCATATATCTGTCCCCAATAGGTCAGGGTCTAGAACTGTGCGATCTATAGTATAAAAGAATAGATCTAAACTGTAGAAATCAGGACAATTTAATAGTAAGATGCTATATGATAAAAAATATTGGACACCATAAATGAGAAAACAAAAAAAAATTAGCATGTAGTTTATAAGGCATGACTATCTATAAAGCACGTAGTTTCACTAGTGGAGAAATGAGATCTAGTCCCGGTTGGGAACTAGCTCTACTCCCGGTTTCCCAACCGGGACTAGCAATCCGGGACTAAAGATGTTGTTCTTTAGTCCCGGTTTGCCACAATCGGGACTAAAGATCCTCCCAGCTTTAAAAAAAAATACCTCCCACCGCTGCGTCCCGTGAGATTCGAACCCAAGACCTCATGCACTGCCTCGCACGTAGCTTACCACCCCACCTACACAACAAATCTAATAATAGATGGGATGCTTTCCTTTTGAACTATAAAAGCTTTTGAACTAACGGGGGGGACCTTGGACATGTTATAACCGGGACTAAATGGTCCTTAGTCCCGATTAGAAAACTCGGACTAAAAGGTCACCCTTTAGTCCCGGTTGGTGTTACCAACCGGGAGTAAAGGTTGGAGACTTTCAGTCCCGTTGGTGGCTCCAACCGGTAGTTCCACCTTTAGTCCCGGCATCTCCAACCGGGACTATCTATAAAGCACGTAGTTTCTAGGGACCTTTAGTCCCGGTTGGAGGGACAAAGGTCAGTCCCAGATGCCGGGACTAGAGCTCATTTTCGGATGAAAGGTCCTCTTAGTTTTCTAATAATATTTTTGTTTATAATAATATATTGATAGATAACATATTTAGCCACTCATCAACTCATCACTTGTTGAAATCAAAATAGGAGTGCCATACCTATTTGGTTGGTTGTAGCTGCTAGTGCCATCCTCGGCAAATGAGGAAAATGATACTGCTGTATCGAAGCTAGCTGTTCTTGCTGGTCAAAATAACAAGTAGGTGGTAGTGGTAATTAACTAAAATTAGTGCACCATACTATGAACTGAAGTAAGATTAAGGACCGGTGGATCCACCTCAAGCATGCTCCGTTACAAACTTACAATTAGTGAAAATTAGGACTAACCATGTGTATCAAAACCTCATGTTATGATATATATAGTCACGGTTGTGTGCCCTTGGCTTAGTTTTTCTATTACTTACACTGGTAGATGGCTCTGCAGAAAGCATAGGAGTGTTTCCTAGAAATGGAAGCTGTTGTTCTTCATTTATATCCAATCCTGAAGAAAGAAATGGAAGCTGTAGTTGTCTTGTGGTTGTATTCAATCCAGAAGGTGAGGAGAAAACATTACGACCTGCGTGATTCAAAGAAATAGGGGACAAAAGAAGCGTTTCACGATCAGGCGCCAGGCGGCTAACAAGTGTGCGGTGGTGCACCTTGTGTACTAGGGTTCAAGAAATATACTCCTCCGTCCGTTTCAGATTATAAGACGTTTTAGCTTTTCTAGATATATTATTTTTACTATATATCTAGACATAGTGTAGATCTAATTAGTGTATAGAAAAACATATGTATCTAGAAAAGCCAAAGCGTCTCATAATTTGGAATGGAGGGAGTATTATATTGTTAATGTTCACTGGCACTGATTTATACATATGTGCAATAGAGTGTGCATCTCCTTGCACTTTGTTTAAAAGTAGAAAATGACTAAGGGAGCTTCAAGACTTAACTGATTCCCCCATTTTGAGTTGAACTTGGCGATAAAGGGTTTTGCAGGTTAGGTGTTTCGCCATTTTGTAGTTGATAACCATTGTCAACCAGAGCTTGACCTGCAAAAAATATCACTAGTTACTGGTTAGATAAATGCAACTCTAACTTTAATCCTAAAAACATAGTTGTGTTACTAGTATATCCAAAATGCCTGGTAATGTACCTAATCAAGTAGGGGGACATATACTCTGTCATCAAAAACAAGATTTTGTTTCTTAATAACACTACATTTCTGGTGGAAAATACGAAAACAACTTTTAGTAGCAGTTTCACAAAATTACACTTTTATTTTATGTTCAAGACAGTTCCAGTGAGAAGTAGCTAATGATGTAAAGTCAAAAAATTACCAATAAACAGAACACTGCAAAGTTAAAAATAAGTTTCAAATATACAGAATAACTGAGAATGTACCGTACAAGTACAATATGAGAAATAATAGTACTTACTTTGTGTGTTTGACCTGTTATGGCGCAAATTTCTTTGTCTATTTGGTCTGTCATGGCCTCGCACAAAGAAAGGATTAGATAATCCCTCTAGAACTCGATATTCTTTTGGTGAGATTACCATCACCCCAAGCCTAACCTTCTTGTTACCGGAGTTACTGAATATTTCAGAACCACAGTGATGCATAAAACCCTGAACGAGGTTAAATCGTCCGTTACTCACTATTGATTTTACTGACTGATCCACATCTCCCGTTGCTGAATTTCTTTCTCGTGCTTTCTTTATAATATTGCTCTCGAAATCCTGTCTAGACCAATTGTATTGATTATTATGTTGATTGAACTGTGCATTAACGACAACCAACTCAACTGTTGCAGAAGCAAGGGGTCCATTTTCTACAGTTTGATCATTAGTACCATCAACTAGAGCTACACTTATATCTATGATTTGCCCCTTTTCAATTTTGTTAGTCACCCCGGATTTGAATACCAGTCGGTATCTTGGTGGCTGCACTTGATTCGACTGTGATCTGCAAAACAAGGAAAAAACTATGGTAACTTATGAAGAAAAACAACGGAGCTGTTTGCATAATAGCTTCACTAAAAAAGGGATTATATGAAAGTACGTAGCAAACAACACCTTGGGGCATCAGAATCATCACCACTTGAACCAGTAGTACGAAGATCCCATTGTTTGCGTAGATCAGTGAGAATTTCAGTAAGTTGTTTGCACATCTCCTGATTGTCATGCTTGACCTTGTCCAACTGTTTGCATATCTCCTCCTTACCTTCAGTAGCTTGCTTTGATTGTTGGCACATCTCCACCCTGACCTTCTTCAACCATTTGCACACCGTCTCCTTACTTTCTGTCGCTTGTTTTGATTGTTTGCGCATCTCCTCCTTGAGCTCTGCTAGAAAATTTATGATCTCTTTTCCCTGGGAGTAAGAGCTCTGCCAGCATGTTATCTGTTATAATTCTATCCAGAGAAATTTATGGTGACAACTGACAAGATCAAAAGGGACCCGAACATGATGCAGTATTTTTCAAGTTTTTACATTCTGTTTTGCGGGTTCAAATATCGGTAAAATTCAATTTGGAAATAGAACCTTAATTTGCCACAGTGGTGTTTGCAGCTCAAAGCACCCCTCAGATCTGATGTATGGAATCAAGAACTGCAGTGACGTGACATGTAGGTGGTTGTTTCTAGGTAAAACTGAAGCACAGTAGTGCGAAATCATGCAGTTTGGGAAGCCTATTATAGGCCAAAACATGCAGAGTGAGATATTAGAACTAGGGACTAGAGAAATTTGCTGGAACCAAAAATGAGAAGAGATGGAAAGTACCGCTTTCTTGCTAGTATTTTTTGGCGACAGAGAGGATGTTCTTCTATGTCTAGCAGTTTGCTCTCGAGAAATGTCTTCACTTGAGCTGTTTGGTCCGCAGCAAGTCAGGCAAGAATCGAGGAAATCAAATCTAGAGTTCAATTGGACAACCCAAGATTCATATGGTTTTATCTCCGAAAGGCATACCTTGCGCTACTAGACTCCATTGCTGACCGCTTCTTCTTCTTGGCCATGGCGTCCCCTCTTCTTTTGGACTTGTGATGCGGTTCCTCTTTCTTGTAACTGCAAGTAAGCACTCTTCATATTGATGGAGCTAGAGGGAGGAGATGGAGACTAGAATCATAAACAATTATTGTATGATTATTGGTATATCTAGCATATTTGCCTAGGACTAACGGGGTGGAAAGTCAGAGACGGACTTGTCTGTGCGAGCTTTCGGATTTGGAAGTCCTCGGGAAGTCCGGTGGAGTTCCCAGAAGTCCCTCGGATGTGTCCATTGGACTTCCCCTGCCCAATACACCGTCCCGTGTGGGCGTGTTCATTAGACTTCGTCTCTGCCACTATATGTCTATATCATATTGTGTCCAGTTGTCCACTAGTTGTTGCTTTTTTTTCTCCCTCATTACGAGCGAACGTTGCTCTTATTCGAATCGACCTTGAAAAAAAATGTGCTGCTTGCTACTACATCGTGTTTTGACTTTTGAATGGAATAGTCAGAGGCCAGGTTTGGTCAACGTTGTCTGAGTTGGAATAATGGATAGACACGGGGAGGTGAGGAGGTCCGGTGGAGTCCATGAGACCTCCATCTCAACTTCCGGGATGTGCATGTGAACAACTAATCAGCCAGACAACTAGTTCTCTGGGCTTCTCCGACCTCCGAGGTTAGAGGTGTGCTCGCTCTCTGTGACTCCCTTGCGGCTTTGAATAAACTCTGTGGGCTGTCCTTCAGTGCGATGTCGTAGGCCATCTTGTGGTACATTGGGGAACAGCAGTCAAACACAAGGCTTCCAGAGAGGTACTCCGCTCTCCGCTGTACGCCCATGGCGCCACAGGGTTACACACGCTGAAACCCTCGCCAACCTCTGAAACATGCAGGTCAGGTTTAGGAGCAACTCCAATCCATCTCTTGTAGTCCAGACTCCAGACAAACTAGCGGCTAGTTCACTATCTGAAAAATTGCTTGCTCCAGCTTGAATGAACCTATAAATATACAGAGGCCGCATGTACTGGCATCATATATATCCAATGATGAGATCCTTGCTTCATCATTATATCGTGCGCTACAAGCTACTAGCTAGCTTCTGCACTCGAGCAGCGTAGGTACATTGTTATTTCCTTCCGTATATATACTGTACATATTAGCGTGGATTTAATTTGGAGATATAGATTAGCAATTTAGCATGTGCGTTCATTTCCGGCCTCACTCAGTTGTGTACCATCTAAGGGTGTTAGAGGCTGAAATTTATTCCCTTATATATCTAAAAAAATTCTCGGCCTCACCGTGTGTTACTTTTGCAGGGTCGATCGGTCGTCGGTGCAGAAGAGTCTGGTCACCACCAAGTACACAATACAACAACAAAAAATGGTGCCGTTTTGGGACATCGTCGGAAAAGCGGCCAACCTGTTCCAGCTATTCGGAGTGGACGCCGTCACCCTAGTCGCCGTCGCCACGAGCTTGCTGAGGTTTCATGAAATGAACACGGAATGCAGGAAGCTCGAGGAGCGCGTGCGGATGCTCCGCCTGCTCCTGCACTCGCCAGGCGGCTACTGGGTCATGCAGCACGTGGAGTTGGGGCATCTGCTGACCAATGCACTGAAGGAAGCCCACGAACTCGTGGAGTCCTACAATGGGAGCACGCTGTTTGCGCGTCTCTGGGGAGGCAGGGGCATGGCCATGCGGTTGCGTGATCTGCGAAGTAGCATCCACTCCTACTGCAGCCTCATCGTCTCCTTCAACGCCTTCATCCTCGTCGTGGAGGCAGACCCTCCGTCGCTTGTTATTAGGTGATCATCAGGTATTATTGGCTTGGGTGGTCAGAGTAAAATTACATACATAGTGTTGGAATGTGCGTTACTTCAGGATGTTACGATGGATGGATTGTACCTGAAGGCAAGTTGTTACGGCTCCTGTTGTTAGTTTAGTATATCCCTTCGTTGTTGTAATCTTTTGTTGTAAGTCAGATCCCTTAGTTATCTTCTGGTTATACAAGTTGTATTTGCCACGATAGGGACTTTTTCTAGCTATATTAACACGGAGCCGTGAGCCTGAGTAGGCATCACATTACAAACCACTTTTCACATGGTATCAAAGCTCATTTTCTTCACAATCTTATTCCGCTCCTAGTGCTGCGCTCTCCATCGGGTGTCCTATCACCTAGAAGCTCTAGCGAAGAACAACTGCCCCATGGAAGACGCAGGTCAGGTCAGCCCAACACGATGCACAAGTCACGCACTACATCAACGACCAAGGAGATTCCTAAATCTCCTATCCTAAACCTGGATTATGAAACCTAGGTTGCCAAAGGATCAGCAGATCCTTAATTATTATGGCAGAACCGTCTAATCTAATGCTCTCTCAAGAGTACTTATCTTCCATTAGACACTGGGTACCCAAGCGAGGACACTAAACTATGCAGTTCTGTCGAGTACGCCCCGAGGGAGAGCTCGAAACTCCACATTTTTCCATCAGGATCATAAATGAGAGTATAAAGCTTACAACATTTTGAGCCATTTTTTACATTGATTAATACAATGGCGGAATGAAACATGTGATCAGAGTTTCATAGGAAAGAAAGTTATTTAATTATATGTGAAGCATTAACAAGTGAATATTTCTATTCAAGATATGATGGCGGTTTATAAAAACTTTTCTTATAACAACCTTTAGTGAGGGTTATACATAAATACTATGATCGCAACATGAAAGGAATCATCTCTGAGCCCACCAGGAGGTTTCCACATGTAACACCCAAAAATTTCATTCTTTTAAAATAGCTAAATCTGATTTATTTATGCAATTATGTGAGCATTAAAATATAGGAAAATAATAATTTTTGGGAAATTAAAAATCAAATATAAGGTTAGTAACATGTTGATGCATTCATGCTGCTACACATTTGTTTTTGTAATGATTAGCTTTGACTAGAATTTTAATTGAATTCAAATTCAACTTGAAAATGAGATTGGAAAATGTATTTAACAAAAAAAAAAAAAATTCATTTTCTTCCCTTCCTCATTTCGCACACACCTTGCCTTTTTCCCCATTGGCCACCACCATTCACCTCGCTACCGCTCCTTTCCCCTTCTCCTGCTTTTCTCTTGGGCGGCCCAAGCTTTCTGGATCAACTGTCGCCGCTCCTTGGCCCATCTCGGTAGGTGAATGCCGCGCGTCCTCTCTTCAGCGCCTCACCACGGCAGACAGGCCCAGCAAGGCGTCTTTTTTCCCATCCTCCCCATCCTCCCGCTGCTGTGCCGATCTAACTGAGCTCAAGAACCGCCGCTCAGCGCCCATGTCCATGTCGTGGTGGGAGCGCCTCCCAGCGCCGACGTCTACAAAAGCGAGCCGAGCCCTTCCCCACCCTCCCCTGCTTCCCGCTCCCATTTCGTGACTTCGCTTTCGAGCCGTGGAAGCCGAAAACCGCCACGCCAAAAAGATTGCCGTGGTTCGCCGTCCGCCCCTCCGCGTGGTCCGCCGTCCCCGAGTCTTCCCCGCCTTCGTTTTTCCCCGCGGTGAGATTAGCCGTGCCCTCCTCTCCTTCCCCGGCCGTTTCCTTTGGCAAATGGTGCCTTGTATGGCTGTTTTCGGGTGCGCCGATGACCTCCGCCTCGCCGACCATGGCGACCGCCGCCTCGGCCCTCCCCTCCGGCCGCCTTCTCAGCCTGGACGAGTTCGCGAGAACCCCCGCTACTCCCAGGTGCTCTCGGTTCATCGAACCGTGGACCATAGCCTCAACCGTGCTCGCCGGCGTGTTCCTTGCAGCCAGAGTTACTCGTTTCGTTTCGGTACATGCGCCCTTTCTCTCTCCCTCATCTGCTCGAGCGACCACACCATCCATGATCCAACGGCCCAGAACGTCCGATACCCCTTTGCGGGTTATTTTTCTAAAGAGACCCCCAGGTTTTGACAAATAGAACCTGCAGTCCAAAGCACATTTCCAGATTACGTTTTCCCCTTTTGAAAACGTAAAGTAAATTGTTTTAGTCCAAATTACGTTTTCAGTATTTACAGAAATGCCATTGCACTATTTTGTTTATAAAATCGTCATTTTAGCTCCGAATCGACCCGTTCGAATTGCGTTAGTTTCGTAATTTCATAATCTACGTGTTAGTACCACTGTTAATCATGTTTGCAACTTTTAAATTTCATGGTTAGATTTAATTAAATAAATTGCTATAGGAAATCCCGTTTAATTCATAACTTTCGCGTTTTAGCTCTGTTTTTCGTGAACTTCGCGTTGACATGATCGTAGCGAGACGTAGATTCTTTTCATAAACATTTTATCTTGTTTTCTATACTGTTGGTGTACTGTTCTAATTATAGGAATGTTTGCTTTGCATGAATGCCTTTGGAATGTTGTATGTTGCCGTGTTGGTCGCGTTCAGACGGTGAGGAGAACGTTGGAGACCAAGAGTTCTTCGACGACCAGCAGGACCAGCAGGAGTTTGCTAACCAAGGCAAGTATAGCATGGGATCTACCTTGATGCCTATTCACCTTTATTAAATTACTCATTTGCATGTGTCTAATTTTGATACCCGTAAGGACATCCTAGTGATTGATTATCCTGTTCCTTGTCTCCTATGGGTTATATGCATATGGGTAATTTGCTAGTGCTCAACATAACTATAGATGAGCTACATATTGAACAATGATTCTATGGAAGAAAAGGTAAAAGTTGCTTTTAAACAACTGATTATAGGGCGATGGAGTAAATGACTTTCGATCATGATGCTCTCGGCCCTCCATAAGGACTTATCTGTTGGCAAAAGCTAGGGCTGACAGTGCAACCGTGAGGGTCATATGGCTCTAACTTTAGCTCATTAATAGGACCTTTTCTAGCTTGTTAGAGGTTACCTTTATGGCGCAAAAGGGGCTTGCCACGTTGGGTATAGGACTGCCTCTGCTCCTATGTGTATACCCGTGATGGATATGTGCCATAGGAAAGGGGGGTTCCTACATATGCCTGCCAAGGAAACCTAGCGGCCCTAACTTATTAGAGAAACCTATGAAATGGCTTCATAGTGTACCCTACCCGCTCACCTTGGCAGTGATATGGGAGTAATTAACCCGGGGCATATGGGAATCACGACTCACGGTGAATGTGCACCACCTCTGCAAAAGGGTAACAAACTATTATAACAGCCATGCTCACGGTCACGAGCGGCCCGGAAAACTCACATAATAATTGGTTACTTATTGGTGTTCATTTATGATGGAATACGATGATAATATGATGCAAATGATTCTGATATCTAATTATGTGGGTTTAAATGGGAGCTTAAGCATAACTTGATAATACTTGATAACAAAATCTTGACTTACTAAAAGTGCTAACTGCAGTAAACCAGTGTCATCCTTTTTGAGCCCCATGAACCCCATGTTATCTTGTTAAGTACGGGAAGTACTTACGCTTATTTTCTTTCATTGTTTGGAATAAAAGTCCTAGATGGGTAACAGATGACAACGTGTATGAGGAGTTTCCGGAGGATTATTATGCTTGTGGTCAACCAGTTGACCGTCCCTGTGTTGGAGCTTCCACGTGAGAGCTATCTTTTTATTTTCCGTTGTGTTGTGTAAGACTAAGTTATGTTATTAATCGTGATGTAAGAGACACCGTGATGATACTTTATGTAATTTGTCGACTTATGTGTGTGACTGATCCCTGGGCAGACATGAGCTTTATGCATTCAATTTTATCCTTAAAATTGGGTGTGACACCACACACCAGAGCCATTTACCATTCATCTGTCACCTGCGACAGGGGAATAAAACCCTGATTACTTAATTGTACTCAGCAAGACTTATCGGACAGGATAAAGTAAAAGACTCCAAGGATATGCAAGGCTATTTGACTTGCTGGGTTGTTACAATTGCTGAAAGCATTACTAATAGTGCATCCTTATGTTCCATGTTTTTAGCAGTTATTTTTAGTTATTTAGCTAATCATTCTAGGTAAGCACCTATACTACTTTCAAGCATGTGGATAAGCAATTAGAACCATTTTATCACCTTCCAAGTTCTAGTTCTTACTATGGTGCTAGACCATAGCCAAGTCGTACCATCTCAAAGAAACGGCGATTCATGAATCAATGTATCCCAGCTGGGTACCTCGAAACACATGCCCCGCTTGTACTCTAGGCATAAACGAGACCAACTCATCCCACTCCTGTCAAGGGGTCTAGGTCCCCATCCAAACTTGGACTCCAAGCCCCGAACACCTGAGACCCGGTCTCAGTATGATGCTTAGACCTCCACCTAATACCCACCCCTAAAGTCGGTTCAGAAAAAGACGGAACCCATGACAAGAGAGTGATAAGTCTTCCCACTCCTATAAGCAAGTATGTGCTCATGATAATAAGTCTGTGACTTGACTACCATACATAGCAACGAACGGTCCTCAACCGACTCTGGCGGGACAAATGCAACCGAGCCTCGCTCGATTGCCTATCCAAGTCCAAATCCAAATCCAAAGTATGGTCCCACCCGATCTCCAATTATTATCCATATATATTTCATGTGATAGTAACATGATAATAGTAACAATAATATCTTTTCCTATCTCTCGTGAGTGATAGGTAATCACTCAACTTCTATCGGGATTCTATAGCATAGCAACCTACACAATCCTATCATACTAGCAAGACCCATAGGATAAGGATATATATATATATATATGCAAGTGGGTTTCATTCAACTCCTTTAAACTTAATGCACAAGCATAACATAAAGTGCAGAAAAATACGGGTTATGCACCGGGGCTTGCCTGGTAAGATATAACCAAAAGTTAGCA